AGACAATAGGGAAGGTCAAACGCCACCAAGAAGATTTCCAGGGTACGTGGAACGACTTCCTCTGCGCGCCCTCCAACCGACCACTGATTATGCCCATCAATTAGATGACCTCTTCACCAAAAAGCTCGTGAACACCATCACATCGGTGAGGTTAGGTGGTGGTGGTGGAGGAGGAGATGGTGGAGATACGGGAGATGATGGGAAAATAGGAGATCAAAAGGAGTAAGGACCGGAAGAGGATTGACCAGTTGACCAAAGGACGAGAAAAGAGGGAGAAGATGAAGGTTAAGGTTTCGTGGACCTGCAATGGGAAAAGAGAGGAGAATTTTCTATGTTGGCAAGCATCAATGGACACATACCTGAACGCGCAGTTAATCCCTTGGAGGGGACACTGCCAACTTTGCCTTATCGTTGATGAAGGCAGCAGGTTGCTTGTCGATAGTAGAGTAGTCCCAACGCATCCGCGTAGAGGACTTCATGAAAGCCCTCAAGGAAAGGGTTTGAAGCAGTGCTAAATTCCCGGTCCGACCGGGGGGTCCACCCCCAACCGGAACCGGGCCGGTGGGACCGGCCGGTCGACCGGTCCGGTTCCCCTCCGGCAGCCTACAGCGCATTGGAGGGGAAGTCCCGAATCGGATTTTTTTTGGGCCAGGAGGCCCCCACGCGGGTTGTGGGGGCCTCCTGGCCCAAAAAAAAATTGAACCGGGTGGCGCAGGCCTCCCTTTTTGTTTCCAAAGCGGCGGCCTCTCCGGACCGCTGATCGAGGCAGATCGGCGGCCCAGATGAGGCCGCCGTTTTGAAATTTGGAGGGAGGCGGTCGTCCTCCGTTTCCCGCCTTTGCCCGTCGGCCTCCCCCACTTCCAGTTTCCCATGGCCTCGCCATCGTCGACCGTGCCAGTCCCCGTCGCCGTCCTCCTCGTCGTCGGCCATGCCAGCCCCCGTCGCCGTCCTCCTCGTCGTCCGTGGCCGTCGCCACCACCTCCCTTCGCGCGTCGCCCGTCGCCGTCCGTGGTCCGCAGCGCCCGTCGCACAGGTAATTCGCCATCTTCTTCGTCTTCTTCGTCTTCTTCTTCTTCTTCCTTTCTTCTTCTTCTTCTTCTTCTTCTTCTTCCTTTTTTTTTTTTCTTCTTCTTCTTCTTCCTCTTCTTCTCACAGATCGTTTTTTTTTTTTTTTTTTCATCTTGTACTGC